CCTGCCTTTCCTCCGACCTCTTCACGGAGCTCGCGATGGCGGTGTTGAATCTCGCGCGGGTGCTTCCTCGGGCCGGGGGGGTGTGTTTCTTCCCCTCCCACGACCTCACCCACGGGTTTGTTCGGTTTCTTCACCGGAGTGGCTACTACGCCGCGATTTCCGCGGTGAAGCGGATCTTCGTGGAAGGGGAACCCCTTCCGGTGGGGGGGGGGGCGAAACGGGGTCGTGCAGAGGGGCCTCCCAACCGCCCAGCGGATCCCCTCGAACTCCCAGGCCTCCCCTTTGGGGAGGAGGGGGAAACGACCACGACGACGGCAGAAGGGGGGGGCCCCCCGCCGCGCACGGAGGACCTCTTCGACGCCTATCGCGCTTACGTGTTAGCCGGGGAAGGAGGCGGGGCGTTGCTCTTCGCCGTGATGGGGGGTCGATTGTCGGAAGGGATTAACTTCAGCGATGAGCTCGCCCGCGCGGTGCTCGTCGTCGGGGTGCCCTACCCGAACCCAACGGATTTGGAGTTGCGGTTGAACCTTCGCCACATCGCGAGCCTCCAGGTGGGGTCGTCCGCTTCACCCCCCTCGGAAGGCGGGGAAGGAGGCACCCCACAAGAGGAGCGTCGTCTCGCGCGGGTGCAATGGGAGCTCTACACCGATCTTTGCATGCGAACGGTGAATCAGTGCATCGGGCGGTGTATTCGACATCGCGAGGACTACGCGGTGGTGGTGCTGCTCGACGCGCGATACGCGGAGCGGGCGGAGATTCGACGGCGAATCCCGGGTTGGATTCAACCCTCGTTTCGGCAGGCGGCAAACTTCGGGGAGTGCTTTCGCGGCGTCCGAGATTTCTTCGCGAAGCGATAGGGGGGTCTGGGGTTTGGGATTGGGAAGGGTCTGGTGGGTTCGATTATTCCTAGTTTTTTCAGCCAATCCATCTTTTGAAATGGGGAAAACCACTGGGGGGTGCAGGGCATTCTTCATCATCCGACCATAAAGGAATTCCACCGAAAGTATTTTCTTTTTAATGGCTAACCTCCTGGTATTGAACTCTATAGCAACCTGGGAGGGGGGGGGATGCGGGCTTGATCTTCGTGCGCCTCATTATACTTCCTTTTTTTTTTTTTGGATCTGTGTTTCAACTTTCAGCGCGACCGTCTTTCTTCACTTTCTCGTCTTGTCACATAAAAAGTTCGAATCCATTTCACACCACACCACTTCAACTCTTAAGGTAGCCTAGGTTTTCTCTTCTCAACGAAACCGAACGCGAAGGTCCTCGTCGTGATGAACACCAAGCCCAAGGCGATCTCCCCGCCGGAGAATGGCGGCAACCGGCGCCCGCCCAACCCCCATGAGCGACCGGCCAAAAAGAAAAAAAAGAGCCGCGTCGTGATCACCGAATCCCTGCGCGCGACCGATGCGGAAAAACACGCGACCTCGCGCTCCCTCTACGGCGACCACGCCGCACGGATCTCGAGCAACATCTTCAACATCCACGACCGCATCCGTCAGCGCGCCTACGAGGCGGTTTTCCGTAGCATCAAAGGCAAGACGGTGCTGCATTTGGGGTGTGGGATGGGGCTGTACGGGATGCTCGCGGCGCGGCGAGGCGCGCGGCACGTCGTGGCGGTGGATTCCTCGGCAGTGATCGACGCCGCGCGGGTGGTGGCCGCGCAGAATCACCTGTCCAACCTCACCTTCCTGCGCGGGCGCCTCTCGGAAGTCCTCGCGAAGCTTCCCTTTCCCAAATTCGACCTCATCCTCTGCGAGTGGGTTGGGGCGTTTTTGGTGAACGAACCGATCTTGATGGACGTCCTCTACGCGCGAGAGCACCTCCTCGCGCCGGGTGGGGTGATCTGCCCGAATCGTTCCTCCTTGCACGTCGTCGGCGTCTCCGATTACCCCTTCACGCTCGAGGTGATGGATTTCTGGAGTAACGTCTACGGCTTCCGCATGGCGCCGATGCGGCGGCTGGTGGAGCAGGAGGCGGATGTCTGTCGGGTGCCCGCGGCGAACCTCGCGACGAGCGTCGGCCTCGCGCACACCGTCACGATCGAGGAGCTGCCCTCGCTCACGGACGAGGAAACCGCCGCGTACGCCACCCGTTTGGACGAATCGGAACCCAAGGAAACGGAAAAAAGCGACTCCCAAGCCCCGGGTGTGGCCGGCAAGGCCGAGGAGAACCCCGTCGCGCAGACGTGGACGCCGCCGGCGGTGATGCGGGCGGGGTTCGCCGCGGACTTCCAGCTCAAGGCCGCCCGCAACACGACGCTCCATTACCTCACCTTTTACGTCGACGCGGTGTTCACGAGCCCCGTCGATATCGGGGCAAATTTCGTGATCGGGATTCGCCCGGGCGGCGTGAACGCGTGGACGGAGGTGAGCGTGTGTTTACGGCAGCCCTTGCCCGTGATGGCGGGGGAGACCATCGTCGGCCGCCTGACCACCTCCACCACGGCGATGAAGACGACCGTGATTAAGGTGTGGGCGAAGACGGAGGGCAAGGTCGCCGCCGTCGAAACGGAGGGGGAGTATTACTACCGAGGGGTTTAAACGGGAAGCAAGGAAGTGGGGTGGGGGAAAAGGTCCCGGCGAGTCCACACGGCGTTGTCGTTTTCTATTTTGTTTGTAGCTTTTGTTTTTGAACTGGTTAGAAGAGAAGGACCCTCGAAAAGCCTTTGGGATTGATTTAATACGACGACATGCCTCTTTCAAGCATGTTTAATAAGGCATGAGCACATTAAGATCCGTCTTGTTGCGAATGAGACCGCGGCCGTTGGTATGGTCAGAAGCGGGGGGAGGAATAGCCAGGTAATCTATTCAGCGTGGATTGACATAGTTTTCGCGTATATAATGTGTCTTGGGTCAAGCTAATGAGAACGAAAAGTTGTTGCAAATAACTAGTGTGCATCAAAAGGCACTAACAGAATCGTATAAGCGAAAAGGAAACGACTTAGACCAACTGAACTGGTACCCCCCAAATCACCGCTAATTAAATAATTTATTCTAAGGAATTAATACGAAAAGTTTGCACACTCTTTTAAGTCTGTTCCCTTAAGGGATCAGAGCATGAAGGTTTAGGGTGATGCACGCAGCCATTCGCAGGATGGAATTAGCAATTCAAGGACAAGAAACCAGAAGAGTGGTATAATTACATTTCTGGCTGTGTGTTTTTCCTTACTCCTGCGCGGATTCCTTTGTTGAAAATAGGTGCAGCGGTGAAAATAATAGTGATATTAAAAAGCGCGCAAAAGAATAAGAAAAGAAAGGTAAGCCAATATAGCCTGTGTTAGAGGCGTCAAAAGTAGATGTGTGCTACTGTTTGGCTCAGTGTGGATTGATTTTGTCGTTTCCACCTCCCCCTTTCGTTCTTTAGCATGGAACTTGCGAATGGGGTGGAGGAAAAGACAAGGACTCATGAAATGACTCATAGAGGCGAATTGGGGAAATAAGCCTGTGTAAATTCTCTTCTTCACTCATGCCCATCATCCTTTCTAATGCCTGCTTGCTTTCGAGGGCGCCATAGAGCTAGAACTCATTTTTTGCTATCACCGAAATGTCTAAATCGTGGAAGTGACAGAATAAGCATCGGTTCTGGACCAATGGTCACGTCAGTATAGCTACCAACGCTTACACATTTGGTTGACTGGATGTACTTGACAGTAAGCTAAAGGATTTGTTAAGGCAGCCAGCGACCTTTTATAAACCTTTAGCGTTCGGTAAACACAGTTAAGAGCTATCATTAGCGCCGTAATCTACCCTTTCGAGAGGACGTATTTCTGATACTTGGGAAAGGAAACGCCACTCATCGATCAAGGGGGGTGTGGTTTGGGTTTGATGGGCAGGTATTGGGGATTGAGAATAATACCCCGCAAGTATCCCGCTGCGCTTTCAACTGGGAGTTATCTAGAGAAGAGATGTGTAAGTCGAATAATTTTAATCAGAAAAGGAATAATAACGATTATAATGAATTTGACCGCGTTATGAGGAAAAAGTGACTATGTCTGCGTCTACGTTTATATGCTTTTTTACCCTTTATTTTTTTGCTTTTTATGCCAAGTGTAATAACTGCTCGTTATCTCTCTGCGTGTGTGAGGAAGGATCCAAAAAAGTACCAATGTTTTCATGCGCCCACCTGCTTCGCGCCACCCTGGATTTTTGCTCGACGCCAAAGATAGCGGATGTTTACAGTACCATCTTGCAGCGCACGGGGTTGGAGTTTGACCATGTTGCCATCGATATCGGCTATATCGCCTCGATAAGTGCTCACCTCACGCGCGATTTTGCTGGGCACGAACGAGATGTCGAAACGGTGAAAATTATCCACAAGCAGCTCACCAACATGATTCTGCGGCGTATCCAGCCGAGGAAGAGTTTGGCCTTTATTTTCGATGGCAGCGAGCCCCTGTGGAAGGTGCAGCAGACACGTCAGAGCACTGGAAAGCGCATCGAGGAAAAGGTGTACCGCCGCGCCGGTTCACCAATGATGTATCTACTCGAGAATCATCTGTGCGGCGTGGCGAGTGAGCTGCGGCGTCCGCCAATGGAGTTCCTTGTCAGCGGCAGTGGTGTTCCCGGTCCGGCGGAGGGGAAGCTCTCCGCCTGGATGTTGGACCTCGCGACGCGGGTTTTGCACCCCGCGAAGCGCCCGGCATCTGCGGCGTCGGTGGATGTGAACGACAGCTTCTGCTTGTTGGGCAACCCGGACCTCTTCCTCGTCGCGTTAGGCTGCACGGCGTTCCACAACATCACCACCCTGAGCCTCCTCCAGGGCGAGTTCAAGTCCCTCAGCCTGCAAGACGGCCTGGGGTGGATGCGGGCGACCCCGGCGCGGGCGTCGCCCCCGACGGACTCCTCCACCGCGTTGGCGCTCGAGCCCCATCACTGGCGGCGCCTCGCGGCCACGCGGACGGACCTCCTCCTGCTTTACCTTCTCGCCTATGGGATGCCCGGGATGGGGCTGGCCGGCCTCGGGGTCGGCTTCGGCGACCTCAAGGCCGCCTACGACGCCGAGCAGGCCCAATTGCCGTTGTCACAGAAGGTGGAAGCGAAGGGGGGGGTTGAGGGGACCCCCAACGGCCCGGTGT